CGGCAGTCGTCGCGAAGATATTGATATTGTTTGGAAGTAATCCGGAAAACATTGAACCACTTTCGCACGCTTTTCGTATAAATTGAGTTAATTATAGGATTTTATTTCATCTATAATTTAATGCTTTTATAAGTTATGGTTTTATTAATAAATAAAATATACCATAATTGCAATCAATAAAATAATGAACAACTATTAGATATTAGATACTGTACAGTAGATACTTTCTAATGTGGCCTTTAAGTCATTATTGCAAACAATTCATTATTCGTGACATAACTTAACTGTTAAAGTAGTAAATATTAAATTTCATGACTTTTTTTTATGAATTACTGATATATTAATTAAATGCCTTAAAAATTGTTGAAATATTTTATTACAAAATTTTGTGCCGAAAATTCACAGCATTGAAGGCTTCTAGTCTAATGCTTCAGACTTTCATATTATAGACACGACTACAATAAGATCTATAAAGACTGCACCACTATATCACACAATAGCGTAGAAATGTCTTGTGATCATAGTTTCAATTTACAGAACCTTGTTATTAAAGATAAATTTTAAAATATCTATATTCTATATTCACAATAATCATATCCACTATATTGATTATGTTTGTCATTAATTAGTTTTAAACTATATTTAATCTCGGATTAAAATATATTTTGTCATTTATATTTTATTTTGATGTAAAATATTGAACAAGACAAAAATATATCAAAATAAACTGTTTTGATAATTTGAATGAATGACATAATCTGTGATTTAATGGTAATATAGTTATTGAGAAATTAATAGCACCGGTATATAACTTTGAGTTCTTAAACTATTACTTCCCCGCACTATAGGACTCTTTCAATATAAGCAAAATTTCTATTTAAATCAATGTATTCTTTGAGTGAATAGAAAACTTGTCGTATTTGAGACAATTTAGTTGTCTATCAAATTATCATATTTCACACATTTATGAGTTATTAAGTTAATCACAATTCACTTCCTATTTGTCATACTTTAACAGTTAGATTGTGAAAGGTAAGATATTGTCTATTTGAGTCTACAATTCTTTGCTATTCAGTTGTCCTTTAATACACAAATTCTATCATATATTGCACTCAAATTCATTTTTTCTGACTAATTGTATCGATACTCCGATAAGAGTAATGATATAATAAATGACTCAAGATGGTTTTAAAAACTCGACAAAAGTATAATTTTGTGTAATTGTAAGAAAATGGGATTAAATGTTACCTTCAATATAAATGGCCATTTTATTAAACTTCTTCTGATGAGCCATATTTCTCAGAGCATTATTCAGATCTTTAGCGTATAGTTCTCCGTTAGGGAAGGCTATAAGGCCGGGCGCGCCGTGATCTGCGAAATACACGAATATGTGATCGTTTGGACCACTTTTGACCACTTTTTTGCCCTTTTGATGAAGACTTTGATCTCCCTGTAAGACCTTAAGGAACATTTCTGGCGTTACTTCGCTGTTGATATAATCTTTAGGTACTGTGTGTTAAAAGAGCGTTAAAATACATATTTAATTGCGATAATTAAGCAAGGAATAAGTGTTGCAAAACAAATACAAGTGAACTAAGCTAGCTAAGTAAGGCTAACCTCCTTTATAGACGTCCTTTCCATTGGGTTTATTAATGATGATTCCTTGCGTTGGGTTTTGTTCATTGTGTGCGATATCGTCGTACATCATAACGATTATGTTTTTATCACTCACTCCATGTTCGTGAAGAACTTGATACGCGTGACATATATCTGCCTGATGTCTGTAATTGAACCATCCATTAGATCCGGCCACCAGAACCGCCCAAATGGTTCCGTTCCATCCGTTATCTCTTTCATTGTTTGTATGGCTTTCCAAATAGTTTAAGAAATTTAAGTGAAAATCCAAACAATTTGCAGCATTTAAGACAATTGCCAATAAAATGAGTGTTTTTAACATTTTTAGCACTCAAATTATATACAATAAAGGTTTTAGTTACTCATCAAATTAAATAAAAAATTTTGTCAATGCTTTATCACACTATTATTAAAATTAGTTTTATTTTATATATTTAAACAGACATCAACTATTAATGCAATACAAACAACTCATATCTGAAATAGAGATTCTGAATCAATCTGAAGTATATTATATATACAATACTTCAATCATATGACAGATATTCATGATATCATTCCTATTTAGAGTTTATTTGTGTATTTGTTTCTGGGTGTTAGTCATTCCTATATTTAATGAATTATTTTGTGCCAATAAAACCAAAATTTATGATACTATATCAAACATTATATAATGTGGATTTGATTGCTTACTTTCTGTGAAATGTTTTATCTTTTATGTTTTACTAAAATGAAAATATCCATTAAATAATCACACTTTTAAAGATTTATTGCTCTTTTATTAAATATACGGAAAATAAATGAAAGTTTATATTACATATATCTTTTATCTAATACTAAACATCATAAGATTACATCAATTTATAACTCGTTTTTAACACTTAACAGTTTTGTATACAACAAGTTTTGATAAAAAGTACATTTATAAAGCTCTAAACATCTTATAAAAATTGTTCTCACTATTAAGCCTTGTATAAATAACAGAATAAATTAAACAAACATTTTTAGTCTAATACTATTTTTATAACTATTTTTAACTATTTAAAAAATAATATAAAATTTTATTTTATTTTAAGTGATGTAAAGAATTTAAATTTACGTAAATATGATTTTAGAAAATATATAATAAGCAATAAATGAATTAAATTTTTAATTGAATATATTAAACAATTTAATAATTAGTAAATGATATAAAAAATTTTGATTATATGAATAGTACATTGGTGGTTCATTGATATTACTTAAGGTTATCGATGAACAAGTATTCCTCAGCCGTCAGACAAACCAATGTTTGTGAACTTAGGCTTCAATTCTTGTTTACTTGTATTTTCTGCTGTATTTTACAAGAGAACTATCTGTAGAAATGGTGCTCTCGTTTGCACCTGTCGTTTGGTCACGTTCTGACCCCAGGCCACAGCATTTTTAGCCCTCTCTCTGTCAACTCTACTAAACTTATTTGTATGCCTTCTCTGCTAGAATTGCGAGGCGTTTGTAAATTTAATAGAAAAAGTGTGATTTAAGGCTTAATTACTAATAAGATAGCATTAAATGATGACATAAACAATTTCGTGCATATTATTCGCTACTTTTTTGCTTTTATATTAATTTTATTTTATAATGAAGGTAAAAGCGAATAATCAATATATTCCTTACAGTTACGGTTATTTATAATACTTTATATTATAGTCAAACAACTCCGAGCCTATAGTAGTATGAAAACATTGTAGTTTATTAAATTTCAATAGGAATTCCTAATAAAGAATTTGAAAATAATGTTTGGCATAAAGTTTGGTGAATTTGTGTATACTTTAGTGGTGTATGAAAGCTATAACTCAAGTGAATTCAAAGAACAGGCATAAGAGATGCCAACACTTAAAAACATTTTGGCTATTATTATAAGGTCTTAAGGATTTGGTACTGAAGGTCACCATAAACTGGTCTTTTGAGACGGATCGCCACAAAACTGAAAATGTGGTCTAAATAATAAACTCGTGATTCTTATATGCATTTAACAATAGTTTGGCCGCCTTTTCGGTATGCCTTTTATTAATTACTTTTAACATATTTTAAACGCCTTTTAAGGTTTACCTCAAATTAAATTATTAATATTTTGCACTTGCTATTATTTTATAAGTTTTAAGAAATTTATAGACTAAATATATGACCCGGGCTAGACCTAGCACTGACTTGTGTGATAAACAGTAGAAAATGTAAAGTTATTTTATATAATTGCTAGCATGACGTACACCTGTATTAGTGTTTTTTTGCTTACCTGTAGATTAAACTATATTAAGAAGGAATAAACAAATTAAATCCTGTTTTGAAGTTTGTATTCTCATTGATTGATGACTATAATAATGACATGAATTTGGATTTAATCATAGCTTTTAGTGTTTTGCTGCAAATTCCAATAAATATTTTTAATTTATTATAAGGTTTGCGACTAATTGTTTTGTAATTGAATTTTTCTGCTTGTATAGAATGTAAATTTAATTCTTTGATAAAATATTTCGAATTTAATAATTTCTAAGAAGTTTAATAATATGACTAAAATCTGATAAGTTTAATATACATAAGTAGTGTAGTATCATTATATTATAAAATTATATTTCTAGATTGATGAAATTAAATTAATATAAGAATTTTATATGATTGAAAAAGTGAAATAAAATTATACCATGAAGAAAGTGTCTGATATTGCAATACATTATGACATTGACATTGATTGTTAAGGAATAACTGAAAAAACATTTTCAGAGTATTTGTCATTTTCATTATTAATGATCATTTGAAAGAACTGACAACAAAAGCGACTAAAAAGGGGAACAACTCTTTGAGTCCAAGGATGTCTTATACAACAAACGAAAGTTATATAAAAGTTGTGTTAAATGTAGAATATGTCTCATATATGGCACCGATTACTACATTTGTTTAGTCATTTGTCACGAGACATCCAGAACCACCTCTAACTGATTGTTGTATCGGTTCTATTGATCAGAGAATCATTAATTTTTTGCATCTAAAAGCACTTTTGATGTGTTAAAGAATTTCAATTCTTATCGATAATACACCTAAAAGTGAGTCCAGAGTACTAAAGCAAAACCAAAGAGTGATCGACCCGTTTCTCACTGTTATTATGGCTCTTAAGGGCTCACAAACAGAAGCAGATGTGCGGCCAATAAATACAATCACTTTTCATTTTTTTATCATAATTTGGGCGCAATTTATTGTATTTTGTGCTTAATTTCTCTTTGGTTTCCAACGTATTTGTGTTGTATTTGTCTAATTCATATCATTTGTAATAAAAAACATAATTTTCAAAATGTATTGAACACTAACTGTTTGGTTGAGAAACTGTAGTGAGAAGTGAGTGGAATAGAGGCTTAACGCCGAAACCAAGCCCTACATCCCTTACCTGCAGTGATATCCTTCCTGTTTCACAAAATAGACGTTTACAACAAAATTTCCACTCAATTCATACTTATTTCCGTTTGTATTGATTGCTTATAACCTGCAAACAAGTTACCAATTATTGAGTTTTACCTCAAAAAATGTTCATTGCTTATAAATCTTAAAACTACTGGTCTTTGAAGTGCTTTTCAAAATAAATTCTTATTTTTAAAATTTAAATCAACACTAATTTCCTTAGTAGTCGACAAGTATTTATAGGAAACGGACATAAAATTATGTAATTTCTTATTTTACATACGGTAATCATATTTTGAACATATTTCACACGATTTTTGACATATTGTATAAGAATAATAGATTTTATTGAAAGTCTTAATAAATATCTTATAAGTTATAGTTTGCGATCAAAACAATAAACAAGTTCTCAAACATTTGTGAAGTTGTTTGCGTTGAACTGAATTTCATAGATTAGACTCCGATCTGACAACTTATAAGTGATTGGAAACTCACACAAGTGTCTGACCTGACGGTGCAAACAGTTTTGGTCAAAAATTACTTTAAAGTTTCTCACTTTTAAATCATTTGTGAACTTATTTTTTATACGAGAGTAGGAAATTTTTATAGCATCCGGATATATATGACGGGAACGGCGCAAAGACCGGTGTAATTGGTGTTAAACTCATGAAAACTTCACACATTTTGCACAATAGAGTCTGCCATCAAATACATGGTTTGACTAATGGATGGTTAGCGTCTGGTTAATGGACACTAAAATCCTGTTGTTACCACACGTTATATTTGATTTAAATTAAACTAATTTAATTTAAATTATTAAAAAAATTTATAATACAGTATTCAAATGATTAATTTTACAGTGAAGTGAATTAAATTTCAAGATCAAGGTGTACTTGGGTATATATTGTATTCAAGTACATGCTTGAGTTACTCAAATTGGCGCCAAAATGTAATTTATAATTATAGGATTTTTTACATCAAATTTTGTATCAAATTTATGAGAGAAAATTCTAACTTATAATAAGGGATAGGTTTTGTTCAATGAATTGACGGTCGAAATGTTGAAATCTTTTTTGGAAGCGGTTTGAGTGAAATTCTCTCAAAAAGAAGTCAACTCTTGGTTCATGTATTTTGATGAACAATGGGCTCATATTTAGAAATTTCTTTGAGCTGTAGTTAACTCAGAATTTACGAGATTAGAAAAGGGACACCAATTGTATGGTCGAAAACTGAGTTTCTATACGACTGGCAATAAAAAGCATTTTCTTTGAAGAATATTTTCTTCTATTGAGTAAAACTTCATATTCGGTAAAATATATGGAGAAAAAAGTCATACGTTTTGAACATAAAATTCGTGAAATACATCTGCAATACCGGTGTATACAGTATATAGTGTATGGAAAGTATCTGTTGGTAAGAGAGAGAAACAGTTTATCACTTCATTCTTAGCAAATAATGCAAAAATTATTTACACATCATTTCTGTCGAATGACGCGAAAATTATTGGAATTATAACTCAAGTCTATTTCCAATTGCCGTAACAATAATTTATATTTAGATTCACTACCTTTCATGAGAGAGAGAGAGAGAGAGAGAGAGAGAGAGAGCTGGAGAGAGACAGTGACAATAAAATGAATTGAAAATGAGAATAATAGGCGTGAATCTCATACAATATAGTGACTTCTTGTGACTTCTTTCGCACACTTGTGAACAAAGTTGCGATTCTGTTGGCGACGACTCTATACTACAGCCTCTTTGTTGTCCAACTATTCTCTCTTTTATGTAATAATTTATTGATTGCATCAAAAAGAATACCAACTTTTGAACGATAATATAAATTCAAATCTAAATCTATTCATGATATTCATTACAGTTTGAGAATTTTTTTGCTATCTTTTCAAGAGTTAACCCATATTTGAATGAATAGAGTAAAAGAATGAGAAGTTTGGGAATATCATATAAATTACTTCTGTATATAATATTAAACAGGACTGAGAATATATTCTTGAAATCTAAAATTGAACTAATTTTTCATTTGAGAGATATTTTGAAGACTATATTTTTACAACATGAAAAAGTGGAGCTGAATCTTACAAGTAGTGGTTGTTTAAGATTCTGTGAACAGACATAATGTGAAAAATAATTGAAAAGAGTTGAGTCTGAAGGCAAAGACTGAATTCTAATTGATTTGACAGTAGAGTACAATTGATGGAGAAATCACAGTCAAAGCTGGTCTGACATAACTCTCAGGGTATAGAGAGTTGAGTTTCATTCAGTCCTATCGACTGTCAATTTTTTCATTGAGTAATACATCGCAAATACAGAACCGCCTCTTGTTATACCAGAAAGGGTTTCAATGCATTTACTTTACAATCATTAATAATCTTTACATTGAGAGCAACCATTGAAGTGTAGAATTTGGATATGAATTGGAATTTGTATAAAGCATTCAAACAGGTATACGAATAATACATAACCAATGCATTAGAAAGTTTTTAGTTGAGGTGCAGTACTTCCATAACTATCATAGCTTCAGATGAACGGTGGGAGAGTCCAGAAAGCATAACGGAATTGCATTTATAACAATTATGCTCTCTCTCTCACTCTCTCTCTTACTCTCTCTCTCTCTCTCTCTCTCTCTCTCTCTCACTCTTAAGCACTATTATCTCAAATCTTTAAGCTTTCAATTATTTGATTTTGAATAAAAATTGTATTATGAAAGCAGATGTAAGACTTGGGAACAAAACATTTGTTTTTTGTGTATTCAGACATAAGACAGTTATTTATGTCTTATTAATTGGGTATTAGTCTAACTCTTTGCACCTTCCGTTCTCTCGTGTGACCGTAAGGTGTAGTTCAGTAACGCTTTAATACAAGCAAACGTTGGATTTGATTACAATTTGTCACTGAATGCCAAAGTCTGGAGCAACTTCAGGCAAACTCGCCAAATGTGTCGCACCGGCAGAAAAGGAAGAAAAAATAGTATATTTAAAGCAAAAGAATGTGAAGGCCTTGAAGTTGACGGCTCTGTCCTCTCCATCACAATTCAGTCAACAAAACCTGAGTTTTAAAGCATTTTATATTAAAAAGAGAGCGAATAGAGAGTGAATGCAAACATCAATTTGGAGAGAAATTGAATACCAGTTTCTAATGGTTTGGATTCACTGATGCGTTAAACCCAAACCCAAACCCTTTTACAGACGTATGAATCGGAGGCCACAACACAACACATAATCAGCTCTAATGCCATACATCGACATAAGACACCGTCTCATCAGTTGGGAACTCATATAACTGTAACTCTTATCAAAAGATTACATGTTTTTATAGACTTCTATAAGAATTCATACATTTGTTACAAAGACTGTGTTTCAAATCTTTTCAATTTCCCCTTTTAATTCAGGATTTCAATAGAAATCCCCCAAAAGTGGGCCTAAAAGTGGTTAAATTCCAGAAGGAATTTCACATTTCTTATAAAATTCCCATAACTTTCTACTTTTCATATAATTATCAAAATTAATATTAAATTATATTACTTTTAAATTAATTTTGTTTAAATCAAGAAATAATTTTTAAAACATAAATGTAGGGTTAAAATTTTCAATAAAAAGTCATCAATTATTTGATACATTTATGATAATTGAATGGAACAGGTATGTGAGGGTAAGGTATGGTTATGTGTATTGATTGGGACATTCATAATGATTGAGTCGATACTATTTGTGAAGGCATATGAAAGCGTGAATTAATGGTCGAATTGCGACGAATGGACGCAAACAGTGTTTCGGATTGTTTTTGTCAATCATTAGCCCTAAAGAGTGGGAATGAAATGCATTAATGCATTGACTGCACAAACGGATGCATTATTGTCATCGATCGATGAGGTAGGACTAGAGCACTGGGAGCACAGGGCCAACACCTGGCTCTATAAAAAGTGGCATCACATCACTGGCACAGGAATTGAAGGCCAACCAATTCAGATAGAAGTGAAGGGGTTGTCCCGATATGTCCCCAAAGATGAATATTTTGATTCTTAGAGTTACGAAAGATATGTCGATAACAAAGACTGGATGTAAAGAATCTTTATTATCATTGAGAAGAATGAGGTTTTTCTAAACCAATTCGTCATTTTTGATGTCATTTAGCTCTTTGAAAGCAAAGCCACCAAAAAACTAAGCATTGATTTCGATGAACCCAATGAATGCTCATTTCATACACAACTAAGTCTCGTCCCAAACAGATGTCTTCAATAAACTGATATTAAGTCCACTAAATCGAGTCATTCACTCATTCAATGCATTTGTCATTTTCCCAAAGAGAAAAGATTTTCATATCTTTTCAACATATCTTATACCGAATTTAATTCAATTTTTCTATCAAATGCCCTAAAAATGCATTCATTCGTGCCATTGAATCGTTTAATGAGATTATATAAGAAAACCATTTTTGTTCAAATTCTACGAATTTTTATATGCACAGGTATATTTATTTATTGAACCAACAGTTTGTATTAAAAGCTTTTGTAAGTTTTATATAAAATAATATAAGAACATATAATTGATGACATGTAGTATTTTCTTACGGTACTAATGCTGGAAAATTGATGCTTTATAATGATTAAATACTTTTAGGTTAACATAAGTTTATAGATTCTCTTAATTTCTTATTTAAAGATTTTATAAGTTAAATTAAAAATAATTTTATAACTGTATACTAAATATACTAAAATATCCTATTGTAAAACCTCTGTTTGCTAACTATAAAGTATAAAATATGATTATTTGGATGCCTAGTGATGACCCCGTATTATCACAATTAATGTATGACTGAACAGAACAATACATTTATTAGATATTTGATGCAGAGATGATTCATCACTAAATACTGGATATATGAAAGCAGAGAGTATATCATATTTGTGTAAATTCAAAACATATTTCCAGTTCATTGCATTATTCCTGTGGGAAATTCATTACAAATAATGAGACAGATGTGCTTTACTCTACTCACAGAGTCCTAAACAATTGAATAATTATTTTGAAATTTTGTTTTTAGATTAAATGATAAATTTGTAACAAATAGTTTTTACGCCTTTTAGTCGCTGTGAGATCGGAACTCAGGTTTGATTATCCAAAAAATTATTTAAAAATATTATAAATAAAAATATACAATAGAAACAAAGGTCTAATTACTAGCATTACCTTTTTAACTTTAATAGTATTGTAATATAATGTGTAGATTTTGATGAGTTTACAGTTAAAGTAAATAAAAGATTATAATAAACACGAAGAAAGTTCAGATTGTATTTTGAAACCGCATTTAGTATTGAGTAATACCTCAAAGATTTTACAGATTAAAATCGATGAAATTGAGAGCTATTCTGACCTTTCATTCACAACACAATGTATGCAAAAGTTCTATCGGTTTACGAATGGAATTAAGCCTTAATTCAAGAGGATTTTCCGTGAAATTTCTTTAATATTAAAGCTACTGGTGCTGTAGAATGCTACCGGTGCTACGGAATGGAATGGAGTACTGTATATATCTATTTGTAAAAAAGAAGATACAAATTGAAAGCAAAGTGTGAATCGGGAAAAGTTTGATAACAATTGGAGAGTAGCGGACATATAGTGCAGCGATTTATTGGACCAGTTCTGGCAAAAAACCCCTTTAGAGCCACTCTATAGTCGTGTATAAGTTATGGCTTACGAATA